TGGTTGAATTCTAGCTTGCGTAACGACTCTATTCTTATTCCTGGTTACAGTTTACACCACTTGAGGAAAGACAGGGTCAGGAAGAGTGGGGGAGGTGTGGTAATTAATGCCACATTATTTTTAATGTTATCGAGACCAATCAGCAAATGAGGAAAAGGTCTTTTTGAGCCTTTGCAAATGAGCTTTTATAAAATTAAAAGTTGCGGGCAAATCTTCTCAGCTATTGTTCTCTTAGGTGATTTCAATGCTCACTTTAATTCCGATTAATTATGGTGATACTTCATCGCCAAACGCCGATATTGGCATCGGGGTTTTCATTTTTGTGGCTACTACTTGTAGTAGTAGTAGTAGTAGTAGTAGTAGTAGTAGGCACTATGCTGGCACTTTGTAAGAGTGAGTGTAAGTAGTCCTAACCTTCGGAAAGTGCTCGGGACTTGACCGACACTGCCGACACTCATGCTTGTTGTTGTTATCGTCGACTATCGTGGTGGGTGAACAGAAAATGTCCTTCGAGACGCACTTTTTTCCCTTTTGGGAACGAACCAAAATGTCTTATGAGACACAAATGATTTCAACATTGATTCCCTAATGGGAACGAAAAAAATGTCTACTGTGTTTCGAAATTCATGTCTTTCACAGTCGGGAGTTATCGTCGACGCGAAGGTGAGCGATCGACAGCGACGGTGTTGAGCGCCTTGTCGAAATGTCATCGGTTATAAAAGTAGTTTTACTTGCCATGTGCTTCTTGGTTCTTGCCTTCTATCCTGTTGGGTGCTATTCAAGGTGAGATCTCCCTCTTTCTGATAATGATTCTGTGTGCTATTTGGCACCTGCAGCCAGGTACAGCTCTCAATTTACGTTTCATGTGTTTTTTCCCAAAGCGGTTTTCGGCTTCACTCAGGCTTTTCGGAGGATCTTCCGCCCGACCGAAGTGGGTTTTTTTGTCACATTTGATCGTCGAGTGATCTGTACAACAATTCAGGAACACCAAAGGCTTCGTCAGCGCAGTGTGGTGGATACTGTCTTTCGGCACTCAAATAACTTCCTTACGGGAACAGAAAATGTCCTTCGAGACGCACTATTCTTCGCTATGGTTGTTTACAATATTATCTTAACGTTCAAAAGACATAATTTCACAGATCAGATAGTCTCTTGAATCTGCATCTCATAGACATTGGAAGGCAGATTCAAACGCGATACCTTTTGTTAAAAAGACTTCATTGTTTGCTGTTGTTTTTGACCGTTATGATTTAAAATGAATATTCCGGAATTTTTATTCATCATTCGATATTAACTGTCGTTTACTTTCAATGTCTGTTATCCTGAGGGCTTTTACATGTTATTGTTCAGTTAATAAAAGGAATGCAGCCTGTCCAATTTTCATTCTACTTTTCAATAAAATTTGTTTGTTGTTTTGTTGTTTTTTGTTTTGTTTTAGTAGTAGCCACATTTAGTCATCGACTGCCTATTTTTTGGAAAGCAACAATATCAAGTTGTAGATAATCCAACGCGAATTATTCGGTCTGGGGAGTCCACTCTTAAGCTTATCATATCAGACTCGCCTGGCTTTTTTGTTCCTTCTGGTACTCTCAGTCCGTCAGCCAACTGTGATCACTGCATTATCTATGCTAATCTGAATTGACGCAAACAAAAACCCAAATCTTTTACCAGAGAGATCTGGAAGTTTAATGATTGATCTTGATGGGCTAAATGGCACTTTATCTAACGCAGATTGGAATGATGATCTTGACGCTGCACCCTTCGGTATTGATGTTATTTATCAAAGATTTTTTTTTTATATTGTTAAGTCCAGTGGAGTCTTTTATACCACATAAGAAAGTGATTATTCGGCCTCGCGACAAATGGATGACTGGTCAGATTCGTCAAGCTATTGGAAAGCGCGATCGTCTTAAAAACTTATTCCAAACGTTAGGCGCTGTTTACATGGAGGGAGGAAGATCCTACATACTAGAAGGTGGAATAACTACAGTGGGTTTACATGCAGAAATTCCGGCCCATGAGTTGTCGAAGTAGAGAAGGTTAGAGAAGGAATTAAAAATGGCGGACGACAAAATTAAAATGCAATTTGGGTCCTTCTGCTCTCTTTACTGGCGTAAATCACTACCTTTCAGCTGAATTAACGCAATAATCTGCTCGTGGATTACTCCAAACGAAATGGTCGGCCTTTATTGCCGTAATTAGCCACTGAACGACCCGCCGACATTTTGTCGCGTTTGTCCCTAATACTAGGATCTTCCTAGCGAAAACAGTTTACATGGTGCTAGGATCTTCCCACCTCTCAGCTAGGAAGATCCTAGTACTAGAAAGATCCTAGCGCCAGGGACAAGTACAACCCTTTGCATGTAAACTGAATACAGGAAACATATGGCGCTAGGACCATCCTCCCTCTAGGATCTTCCTCCCTCCATGTAAACAGCCCCTAAATCACATCTTGTTTAGAGAAACTTAGTAGTTAGTCTTATCACGATGGCAAAGATAATACAAAGACCAACCAAGCTCTTACTGATTTCTTCCCAAAAATGGTGGCGTATGCCAGTGAAATCCACGTATGGTAATAAGTGTCACTCGGCTATCCCGGCGATCTGCAAAGGTGATGTTTTGATATATGATCCAAACGACAAAGAAAACGTTTTCAATGACTCTGCTCAGAACCCGGAGCGAGCAACTTCCATGACTTCCATGCGCTCGTGTTACGGCGTTTTCGCGGACCGGTTTATTTTTAGAACAGTTTGGCGCGAATTTTGAATATCTTTTAAATCCCTCAAACCACAAATGAAACCAGTTAGCAAAACCTACAGACCTAAATTAAAAATGGTAGCTTTCGCCTCTTAATAACGTTTAGTTTTCCTTTTTGATATTTTATACTTCGAATGACCTCATAGACATGGTGGAGATTCTATTTTCGCGGGAAAAGTGCTCTAAAATGTGTCTAAAAATAAACTGGTTCGTAATAACCCCGTGACATAGGCCTAGTATGGGAGTTGCTCGCTGTTGAAATTCCATTTCTCCCTCGGTGGTCATCAGACTGTCTGTTAACACTGCGGAGGAAGAAATGGTTCGTAACCTTTTATCATCTGTTAACTTTTCAAAGCTAGTGGCTACGCGCCTTAAGTAATAAGATAATAAGACTTTGCAGTGAGGGTCTATATAAACCGTTCACATGCTTTCGCTGTTAGCAATAACATTTTTGGAACCACACTCACCGGAACTTAAAAATCACTCCACGTAAAAGCAATGTTATGTTACATTGGGGAAAAAAATCGACGTTCTTGAACTACTGGTTTAAAAGAACGTTTGCATGTTGGGGGACAGGTACCCTGCGAGCAGAGGCTACATTTTCGCGGTATGAGCTGGCGTGCGAAAAGTAGCCTCTGCCGACAACCGTTCAAATCCGTCCAAAAATCTGGACGAATAAATTAAAAAAACGGGTTTTTTCTTGTTCTTGACCGGTTTAGAGCATTGCGTGAGTCTTGCGTCAGCGAATGATCGCTGACCATTATTGCGCCTTCATGCATCCCTTCGCGCCAAATTCTCGCATACGAACCCGGATCAACGCAGCTCAAACGTAGCAACAGGAAAAGTTCAAAACAGCTTCAAAAATCCCTGTTGATGTATTTAAAAAATTGTCGTCAATAACTTGAATAAGCTCTGTATTTTAAAGCTGTCGGAATGTCAAAACAAGCTGCTGCCGGTGCTTCTTACGGGACCGTGTAAAGATCGTTAATTTATCATATGGTAGTTCTTGTTTGCCAGGAAAAGAAAATGGATACTGCGGTGATTTTTGTTGTGTCGCCTCTCAATGCAAGGCTAAATGCACTGTTTTAAGACACAGATGGGAACCGGAATGTTCAAAAGAATCATCGATCAGTTTTCTTTTAGTGGAAAAAGCAGAAAAAAAGCTTTTAGCTGAACACTGATTCGCCCTCAAGCACTTCAACCTGGTTGGCTTCTTCACGGTGGAACGCTTGTCCTGTTCTGAAAAGAAACCAAAGCGGCAAAGTTTTTAAAGAATTTTCAGGTACAACTTGCACATTAATGGTCAAGGAAGTTCCGTTTTTAAATGAAAATTTAGGTATTTATAGTTGTTTCATAGATTTTTTATACGACTTGAGACGGATTTTGGCGTTGACATTTGATGTCCTCGGCAGCTTTTACTTGCGTGAAATGGTCCACGATCCAGTTAGTATTACGCGAATTGCTTTTAAGGATAAAATTACGGGTTTTCGAATAAGATTTTTCGATAAATAATTTTTCTGACTACTGTTTTGTCTATGTTCATTCATAACATTAGTTTAAAACACAATCGTGAGACTACAGCATCCAATTTATTTCAAGCATCAGTTCTGCGTAGCGTTGACGGCGAATTTCATTTTTCACTTTGAGCACAACTATTACTATAGGTAATATTAAAGCTGGAAAAATGAGCTCCCCGAAAAACAGACAGAACTTACTACAGTTGATAGCATAAAAATACTTTCCTAAAAAGACGATCCGTGGAAATTTTGCGGCTAAAATACTCAAAACCAGAGGGGGCGAAGCAGAAAAACAAAACAAAAGCTCGAGGAGAGTAGTTCGCAGGTAGTTTTCGCAAGTTTGATCCCCGCGAAACTCACGCAGATTTGACGAACCAGTTGCTTGCGAATCGCGTGACGAATTTCGCGCATGCACGATAGAAAATTGAACGGTTGTCGGCAGAGGCTACTTTTCGCACGCCAGCTCATACCGCGAAAATGTAGCCTCTGACCGCAGGGTAGGGGACAGGAAGTCCTTCTACAATGATATGTGACAATTTGACACTATGTTCACTCTGATTTATTAACTTCACACTCTTTTAATAACTTTACAAGCACAAGACTAGCTGAATCCCTCTAACAAAAGCTCGTTGCAGCTCCTTTTATCCAGACTGGACTTAAAGGCTGTCAATCTTATTCATTAGAGACCTTTAGATTCCAGGGCGAGGACGACTACGAATACGAGATTTGACTTAAAGTTTTTCGCGTATTCTAAAAATATAGACTCCCCGGAAAGCTTCATTTTATTATTTTCTACTTGAAAAATGAGCACTGTTATCTTTAGTAAGGGAGGTTACACACTCTCCCGATCGCAAAATGATAAAACTTCTAACATTTGATATCTTGTTTCCGCCACTTCTACATTCTTGCTAAACTCGTAGTAGATTGACGAATGCTATCACGTTTTCCAGCCAAAATGACGCTGGTTCACGCGCGAGCGCTACTCAGTACTGGTAAAATCTCGTACTCGTAGTCGTACTTGTCTTAGAATCTTAAGGTCTCTAATTTAAATTAACATTAGCAGAAATTCGATTTGCTACAAGAGTTATTAATTTACTTTCCTTCGAGGTTATAGCGTAACAAAAAAAATCTACTTTTACTCTAGTTCACATAGGTCCAGTAAATGTCCCGTCCTAACTAAATAGTCAGAGAGATATAAAAAATACAAAGAAGGTTCATACGAATACAAATCAACTACGTACAATACCGGTACTTCTAAAAGTACAACTCGTCATTTTTCGTACAGTACCAAACTTGTCGTTTGAAACATTCTTGTTGGAATATCATAACAATACTAAGTAGTGCCGCCTTTTTCCATACATTAACTCAAAAATTGTTTACGAGTTTGCTAGGAAAAACCCGTCTTAGCTAAGAACAATATTGCATCATGGACTAATAAATTGAATAATAGATGTTTATTTTCCACGTAATCTCAAATAATCATGAATAAATTACGTTTAATGAAGGGGGTATAGGATCCAGTTGTGAACTCAGATAATCAGGGCTTTAACCTGCAAACACGAGCCAGTTCAACGAAAGTCTCAAAAGTGCAATAGATTGATAAAAACAGTACTTCCTTGGTGGAACTTAATTAATCTAGACAACTTTGACTGGTAATACAAACCAAAGGGTTTTTTTTCTTTGAACCGGCTTAAATCAACTGAGTAAATAATTCTGTAATTTTTATTTTAGCAAAAGATACAACTTACTAAATCATACTACGGCACGTGCTTGTTTAAAAACTTGTTTAAATGTGCCGGCTTGAGGCATGAAAAGTTACCGGGACTTTCAACAATAAAGACCGTTTTTTTTGCTGCGGAAGTGCAGTTAGTCTCTTTAGCTAGTTTACAGGCACTCCACTGGAATAGTTGGTGAACAAACAATAAAAATAAAACGTAAGGGGATCAAAAAAAATTATCTGGAAGTAGGCAACCAGTTGGTTACTGAGCAGCTCATGTCCCGCTTGCAATCCCAACCCTAATCTCAAGTTCGGATTGACCCGTGCTCCCCATCGCACCCTTCACAGACAATCCTGATGGTAACTTTATAGTATGCCAGGCGTTATCACCCCTCACTCTGTCGGCACCATACATGTCTCTGAACGTCTGTTTACTGGCCTCCCGACGACCGCTGTAAAGTTTTACATGCCACCAATTTCTGAATAAGTTGAAATCAAAAGGAACGGAATACATGATAGCTAATGTGTTGTCTAAGGCTGGTATGTAGTACGTGAAGACTCCAACGGCTCCTCTAGGTATAGGTCCCGCAGTTTTTCGAGCTCCCCATAGTATGGCCTCACCTAATGAGAACAAGCATATAGGTATGTGTGTTTTGTCCAAATTCTAATAATTTCCCGTGCCCTTAGGCGAGGGAAATTATTAGGATTTGGACAAAACGCGCGTGAAATTATTCCCTAATTTCACGAGTATACCATTTGATTACCTATTAATATCATGGGTGACGAATTACGTTAGCAATCTTGGATTTTTGACATGTTTATCCTGGATCGTATCGATCGAGAACTCCACTCTCTCAAATGTTTAGACCTTAAATTTTCAGACTTTTTCGGCATAATACCTGTTAGAATCCTTCTTGATGTTCTCTTGTGTGTTCTTGTTTTCTAAAGCGTCTTTTTGTGCCCTGACATCTTCATTCACGGCATTTTAAAACTTCGTCATCATCTTGACACTGAGACGTACGGAAGGGTTGCCATAGCAATTTTGCGCCAAAATTAAGGAGTAGTTCGTCACCTATGATATTAGTAACGGTTATTTCTTGGCAATAATGAAAAGTGTGTCTTTTGTTTACCAGTTCTACTGACATAAGATGGGTACGAATCCAAAGTAACTTTAACAACTAATTAAGATCCGAGTAGCCTGGCATTCGCAGCATTTGATAGGACAGACAGGGAGCATTGTACAAGATACCCCCGGGCGGAGGGGGGGGGAGGGGAACTTGGGTTAATTTTTGCTTGGTATGTGCCTCTGGCCTCTCAGAGCCCCTGTTCTGTGGCCGAATCTAGACCCCATCTTAGTTACTTTTGGGCAAATATGTCATTTTCGCGATTCCATCTAAGTCACTTTTTATTCATGTATCTACCTTATCAATCCTTTAAATAGGTCCAGTCCTAAAATGAATTGACCCATTTTTTTAAAATTGAATAAAGAACACATTGGTTGTCTTTACACTAGGCTGTTAAGTAAGACTTAAGAGCCGCTAAGAAGAAAGAAAAAGAATCGGTTGTGTGTGAGGCTTTATTTTACTTGAAGCAATTAAAATTTACTTGTCTTGAAATATTTCTTAGCTTATTTAGGCTCTAGTGTAAAGACTATCATTGCTTCCCACCTACAGTACAAACATTCGGGTACGTTTGCTAACCGTAACCCCCAAAAATCCGAAAAGTGCGACCCCATTGTAGTAACTCTATTGAAAATGCAACCCCATTATAGTCAATCCAGTCATGAAAATGGGACACCATCCCGCGGCACATCCCCATTAGCCTCTTATAAGGAAGTACCCCTCCCCCCCGGAACAAGGGACAAGATCATTTGCTGCGACTGCCAGGCTACTTCATTGGTGAAACCGGCAGAAACCTTAGCATGCGACCCCTCACCCCCCCGGGACAAGGGACAAGATCATTTGCTGCGACTGCCAGGCTACTTCATTGGTGAAACCGGCAGAAACCTTAGCATGCGACTGACAAACACAAACGAGCGACGACAAATGATGACGTCAATAATCACATTGCCGCGCACCATTTACAGACGAAACATTAAATCGATTGAGACTCTGCGACATGTATTACGTATTCTACAGAGTACCATCAACGACTCTCTTTAGAAAGCTGGTTTACTAACTTAGAACAAATGCTACTGAATTGTAATCAACAGTTACCGGCACCGTACAAAGGACTTATTGACGTGAATCAAGCAAAACTAACTACGAGAAAACGACTGGACAACTGACAATTTTACTATTTAACTGTGACAATAGACGGATCGAAACGCACCAATGACATTAGGAGTCTTCAAAGCCAGTACCATCACGGCTTATACGACCAATAACATCTCATTTGAAAGGACAAAGGAAAAATAGCGACTGGCAGATTTCGTTTCAATATGGCGGCTGGGGAAGGAAGCTCATTGTTACGCGATGTAAATAATGGCTTAAATGAAGGGAAATTAGCTTTTCCACACCAGAGTCAAAGTTAAGTCTATATCAAAACACAGCGGCGAGAAAAAAAAAGAGAAAAACTGTTGTTCAAACACATAACATGAATCGTGTTTAGCCTGTCAACCCTTAATTTCAAAACGTTAATAAATCAGACTTTTTTCCAAAACCAGCTGGAAGCAATCCAAGGACATCTTTCCTCTTAAGCAATAAATCAGCCTGCAAAGCACGCATATTTTGCAGCGCGATACATTGCGGAAATAACGTTATCCCGCCATCTTGGACGTTAATACTACCAGAGAGTTGGAACAAGCTCAAAACTGATTTAAAGGAAGAGGTTGAAGGGTTTCAAATAGTAACCCTAACCCTAACCTCCTCTCTTCTCTCCACCCCTCCCCCTTTTCCCGCTGTTCCCGCTCCTCCTCCCTTAGTCTTTTCCTTGGCTTTTCAAGATGGCTGCCGCGATCAATGTACCTCTGAGTTTCTGTCAAAAAAACGCCTGCTTTGTAGGCTACCAATAAATTTAAACATTTCTTTTGTTTTTAGGGAATTTTGCTTGAGTTCTATGCAGTACAAGGAAACACTTATCTTTCTATGGCAAGAACAAGCAAGACGCACAAGTGCGTGAACCCGGCCTTCTTTTAGTTCATACAATGATAGAGCGCCAGGGGGAAATGTGCACTATGTAATAATGCACTACAACCCATATGAACTATATGGGTTACCTTAAAGTCTATTTTAGGAAACAGTTATAAAAGAGAACTGATGTCAGTTCTTAAGAGGGTCCTACCTTTGTTACATTTGATTTCAAGATTTGTATAAAAATATAGTTCTCGAAGAAGCTGATAAAAATAAACACATTGATGGAGCTAGCTTTAATGCTTGATATTAATCATGTAGAAGTAAACCTGATGTTTGCATCTGCAATGATTGGAATAACTTTAATATGGGTATTCTGAATAAAGATACTTTATAGTGTGAACTGGTGCTGCGAGATACCTCAAAAGTAGCCTTTGTTAGGAAAGAGAAAAAATAGAGAAAAGAATTACCAACCTTCAAACCACAGTTCACTGTAAGAACTGTCGAAATAGTCAACATGGCTTTCCCGGGAATCTTCCAGCGCGCACGCCATGCAGGCGAAACGGCATAACAAATACTTTTTGCTACATAGAGAAAACTGTTTTTTTTTAATAAAAAAATTAAAATAAACGTCACAAAGGATTTTGACCACAAAAATACCGGAAAAGTGCCATTGCCTTTATGAATAGTACCTGCACGGCTCCATGGCAATTTGCACGGCTTTATGAAACGAAATCTGCCAGTCGCTATTATTCCTTTGTCTCTTCCCATTAGTTCCCGCGCGCCTCAACCTAACCCCAATTCTCTCTTACCCCCACAACACATTAGATGCGTGTCTGGGATCTATCCGAATGCCGTACACCTGCGCTAAACAGCAAGCATAATATACTGATAAGTAGTTAGGTAGGAGTTATGCTTTTAAAATTAGACTAATCTAGTTTGTACCTTGTGGAACATTAAGTGGAAGGATGTTATCTGAGGTGCCAGACGAAATATACACGGAAGTTGCTTCCCACGGATGATCACTTTCATTCCAAACGCCGATAGCAATTTTGCGGTTTGTTTCTATACGATCCAAAAGTGTTCTCAGTCCTTCCACGCCAGAGGTCATGCTAGAAATAGCAGATGGAATGAAAAAAAAAAAAGATATCAAACAACATTGTTACTAATATTCATAAACTAAGTAATCATGAGTGCAATGAGTTAATTTGAATTTTCTCCCTCTGTAGTCCAATCAATTATCGCCAGCTTCGTTCCGGGGGACCTGATCCACCATTCCTTTCTTGCCTGAGACGAAATATTTACTTTTTACCGTCTTTAGCAGTGGCTCCAGAACCGTCATCCCTAGCCTAAATGCACACGTCAGACCCAGGGCGTTAGACCAGAAAATGTTTTACTAAATTTAAGACCAAGTGCTTCCGAAACTGAAATTATCACCACTAAAGGTTCACATGTAAGGATCTACATTGTACGCATGCATGCAGTTAAAGTTAAGTTTGATTCCTGAGTTTAAGTTTTTCCTTTAGAATACCTAAGGCCTTCGGCAACCTGTAAACTTGAACAATCGTCTCCGTAATGATCCGGGCTTGCAAAAATCCATTAGGAAGAAAAACAAAATTGTATAAACAATTAATAAATTTTCCCACTCCAACGAATAACGAAAATTCCAAAAATATAGGAACAAACTCCACCACTTTCTACGTCTGGCAAAATCTCTCTATTATGAAAAAGACTTGAATTGTTGAAAAATAATGCGAAAGGTACCTGGAAGATTTTAAATCGGATAATAAATAGAAACAGTCGTTCTAATAAATTACCGTCAACCTTCACCATCAATAATCAGGAGATTTCATATTCCAGTTGAATAGCTGATCATTTTTGCAACTTTTTTTTACCAATCTGGGGCCCACAGTCGCTAAAAATATATCCAGTTCAATTAGGACACATAAGTCTTTTCTACCGGATCGCTTGATTAATCCTTTTTTCTTTGAATCTGCTACGCAGACTAAAATTGTTGAAATTGCTAAGTCACTTCGTCTTAACACTGCGACTGGCCATACCTTAACCATATGTCGACATACGGCTTAAATCTATCAGTTAACTCAGGTATTGTCCCTGAAATCTTGTGTGGAGTTCCTCAGGGGTCTGTCCCTGGTCCCTTACTCTCTTTAATTTATATCAATGAATTGTGTCAGTTTTCAAATATCTATGACCTGATTTTATTAACTGTGCTTGCCGTAGGCTGGCCCAATTTATAAAATACCTTCGATTATTTTCTTTCCGGGTGGTATCCCCTGCAATTCGTGGTGGGGATGTGTCGACTCATTCTCTTAATGCTTACCTACCCACCGGAATTTTTGGTTCAGTAAACGGCCTCTATCAATGATTAACCGAGTAACCCAGGGGCGTATTCCTGGGAATTGTTGGTGGGGTGTGTTGTTCGGTTTGCCAAATCCTTACTCCAGATTTTATATTAGATGAATACCTACAATCGACGACAAAATGAGTTAAGACACTTCGCCCTAAACTGGGCTTTTTTACGTTTTACTGACTTCAAAAGGAGGAAATATAGCTTTTTCTCCCCCATCCCTTCCATACGCTGTTGTGCCGATGTTCGAGCTACCTTTAGGAAACAACAAACGCCCCAACTTTGAACGGAGGGGAGAGGAGAGGGGTGCGGATTCTTTTGTTCTCCAAAGTTACCCTATTTGAGTACAATGTCTCAACAATTTTGTCGCCGATTGTATAAGGCAAATGTAAAGGAGTACTCCCCCGGAGAATTTCGTTGTCATGACGATAAACACGATCAATGACTAACTTGGCGAAGAATGTTAAGCCAAGGCAGCCATTAAATGAAGATGTGTTTGAAATTGGCGTACTGTACTTTTTCATCGTCTCCTTCAAAAGATGCTACGATGAGTACCATTTGTGGTTTTTCTTCACTTTTTGTTGAAGTTTAAACCTTTTGAGGAGTTTTTCCCTTCCAAAACGTAATTGCAAATCTCTCTATGTGTGTAACTAGAGTGTTTGTATGTGCATCCATTGAATAAAGACGTCTCTCAAGCTATCATTGGCACTTTTTCACAAGCTATCAGTGCCTTTTTCAAAAGATGGTAGGATGGGTCGCTTTTAAGTTTTCTCTTCGCTTTATGTTGAAGCTTAAACCGTTTAAAATGTGACGTCCAATGTCTCTTTTTATCTTTTTGCGATTCTTGCTCAGCGCGTGAAAAGTCATTCCTTACAGGAAAGGAATGTCCCGGGGAATGTGCTCATTGTACATCACCACGTCCACAAAAAAAAATTGTATATATATATATTGACTAGGATAGGTAGAAAGGCTCTATAACGCAATATCAGACGAAAACAAAACTTAAATATAATTTGCTTTCTAAGTTTTAAGAACCAGAATTGAGAAATGAACTGCTTGTTATTAACAGCATTTTATGACCCGTAGAACGACAATAATTTTTGGAATTTCCGGTTA